GCTTGATGTATTTGCAGGTACTCGCGCAATGTGCGCTTCGGCACAACATTGTACGCGCTATGAACAGTACAAGCAGAAAGGACGAGCTCGCAAAGGAACCCAAGATGGAAGCTTTGCGGTTCAACTTACTTGATTGCGCAGATTCAGTTCTATCCAACTCGAAATTGTACTGTTTTGTTTGGTTGACTATAGTGTAGCAGGGCAGGCACTATAGAGGTACAGTTTAGGTGAAGGTTGGATGTTGTTTGTCTGTATCTGCATGCTACAGGGCCAGGGGAAACCAGCGGAACCAGCATTTGGCTGGTTGGGCAAAGACAAAACAGGTTCTGTTTTTAGGACCTGAACCTGGTTGTTGTTTTCCCAGGTTGGAAAAACAGAACCAGAGGTTGTTTACCAACCTACCACCTGCTGTTTTGTCCAGCCAGGTTGGTTCTGTTGCTTGGAATTATTTGGGATCATCCCTGGTTGTTCCCAGGTTGATTCCCAAGGTCCTTGCTAGCTAGAACTATTTATTCCTTCTCTGTTTGTACCTGGATATAGTAAATTTGATTCAAGCAAATTCCTCCCTTCTTGTTATTTCGTTTCTACATGGTACGACGGCGGAATGCTACCCGAGTCAACGCTAGTACGCTAGCACTCCGACGCTAGGCAAACGCTGTCCGAGCCATAACTCTGTAATGGCAGAACTTTTCGCGAGGCAACTTGGCTTATTTTAAAGCTCTTGGAGCGAGCTTCGATATAGGAAATTCTCAGCTTAATCCGGTCAACGGTCTGCATGATACGCTGCGCGACGTTCAAGGTACTCTTGTTATTTTGGCTAAGTCATTCTTGACTCCTCTCTCTACAAACTCGGACCCGAGGATAGGGGCTGGTCTTGAACCAGGCACCCAAGGACCCTTGGAGGTGACCCCGAGGAGAGGTTTTAAGTTTGATTAAGTCTTAATAGCTTGAGTTTATTAGGCCCTTACTGTGAAGAAATGAGGAATGAATGAACTAGAAAACTGTTGCAAACAAATATGAAACCATAGAAACCCGTACCCCTCAGTTTCTACCCCACTATATGTCAAACTTATATCTACTATAGTCTGTTTAGGCTGTAGTGGGGTAGTCCTTAGAGGGTACAACACTTTTGTGTTTCCTACTTGTACCCATCTGCTTTCTAGTTCCATCATTCATTCCTCTCGTTATTCTCACATGGTATAGAGCAGGTTCCCTAGTGGAACTGTTTTTAGGGCCCACCACAAAGTTTTTTTCTCCTTACCTGCCCGAAGCGCGCGTCGCGTCTGTCCTATCTGCGCCGCGTGCGCCTGCCCTTCGAGGCCCTTCGCGGCCCGTAGCGGCCCCTTCGCGTTCCTTAGAGGCCCCTCGTGGCCCCTCCCTATCGCCGGCCCGTTGCCGTCCTTTGCCGGCCCGTTGCTGCCCGTTGCCGCCCGTCGCCGGCCCGTCACCGGCCCGTTGCTGCCCGTTGCCGCCAATCGCTGGCCCGTCACCGGCCCATTGCCGCCCGTAGCTGGAACGCTGCCGCCCGTCGCCGACCTGCCGCCCGTCCCTGACCAGCCGCCCGTCGCCGACCCGCCGCCCGTCCCTGACCAGCCGCCCGTCCCTGACCAGCCGCCCGTCGCCGACCTGCCGCCCGTCCCTGACCAGCCGCCCGTCGCCGACCTGCCGCCCGTCCCTGGCCAGCCGCCCGTCGCCGACCTGCCGCCCGTCGCTGACCCGCCGCCCGTCGGCCTGGCCCTGCCCTGCTGCCGCCCCAGCAGCGGCCCTCCCTGCAACCGCCCCTGGTAAGCACTCGCGCTCCCCCCCCCCCCCCCCCCCCCCCCCTGCTGCGCTGCGCCGCCGGGAGCCGAGCCGCGCCGCCAGTAGCCGAGCCGCGCCGCCCAGCCGAGCCGCGCCGCCCAGCCGAGCCGCGCCGCTCAGCTGCGCCGCTCACCGAGCCACACTGCCCTACCGAGCGGCACTGCTTTGCACTGCAACTACTGCTGCTACCACTGCTTTGCACTGCTGCTGCTCCTACTGCTACTATGGCTAGTCCTACCGTTCTCACCTTTGATGCTGAGGGATGTGCAGTTGACTTTGACGTGTGGGTTGACGATCTACAGCTCTTTCTTCAGTGTGATTCTAGGGATGGGGTATCCCTTTTCGATCACACGTCCGGTGTTTCCACGGCTCCAGCTGCCACTACTGACAGTACTGTTCGCTCTCAGTGGACCACTCGTGACGCTGTTGCTCGTCTTGCTGTTCGTGGTCACCTACCGCCTGCTGAGCGCGCACACTTTGGCCAGTACAAGACTGCTCAGTCTTTGTACGACGGTGTAGTTGCACGCTACTCCTCCCCTTCCACTGCTGCCCTCAGCCGCCTCATGCTGCCGTACCTTTTCCCTGACCTTGCCGCCTGTGCCACAGTCGCTGACCTAGTTGCTCACCTTCGCACTAGTGACGCCCGCTACCGCGCTGCCCTTCCCACTGAGTTCTGTGCCAAGAACCCCCCCCCCCCATGTACATCACCCTTTACTACCTAGTCACCCGCCTCCCTGACTCTCTCTCTTCAGTCAGGGACCACTTTCTCTCCCTTTGCCCCACCGAGCTGACTGTCGACCTGCTAGAGGAGCGCCTTGCTACAGCTAAGAAGAGTATCTTAGCTGTAGGTGCTTCTCGCGGCGACCGTAGCACCCCTTTCTTTGAGGGGTGTTCCCCTGTCCCCCTTCTCCCCTCTGTTGCTTCTGCTGCTGCTGTCGACCTCGTTGGCACTGAGGAGGTTGGAGCTGCGTCTGCCCCTAGTGGGAGACGCCGCAATAGCAGGGGCAAGGGGAGCAGAGGTGGTGGAGGGGGCGGCGGGGGAGGTGGTGGAGGAGGCGGAGGGGGTGGCGGTGGAGGTGGGGGTGGTACCGGGAGTGGGGGCGTCAGTGGCGGCAGTGGAGGTGGTGGAGGCAACGGCGGAGGTGGTGGAGGCAGCGGCAGCGGTGGTGGAGGTGGCGGCGGCGGTGGTGCTGGTCGAGGTGCAGCCGCGTAGCGTGGAGGCTTTGGTGGTAGCCAGCGCCAGCAGCAGCCGCGCTCCCGTGAGACCCCGTCGGCCCAGCAGCTTCGTGAGTGGTACGCTGGGCGTGGGAGGTCTGGGGGTGCTGGTCCCTGCACTTACGTTCTTCGCTCCGGCACTCGTAGTGGGGAGGTGTGTGGGCTCCCACACACTACGCAGCGCTGCTTCGGTCGCTTGACTGACGCTTGGCGTGCCCAGTTTCCTGACGCCGTCGAGCTCCCTCGCTGGCATGATCTGCTTCTGCAGAATGTGCCTATCTTTGATCTAGACTTTGATGCTATCCTTGCTGCCATGTATGCTTTTGCTGATAGTACTGAGGGTGACTATTACCTGAGTGTCCCGCCCGACCCGGGCACTGCGGCTGCTTCTCTAGGTGCTAGTGCGTCTACTGCTCCAGGTGCTGGTGCGTTTGCCCTCTCTGGTACTGCACCTACTGAGTCCTTGCACACTTTTACACTTGACTCTGGTGCTTCGCGCTCTTTCTTTATAGACAGCACCACCCTCACGCCGCTCCGTCGGCCTGTTGCGGTCTCCCTTGCTGACCCCTCCGGGGGCCCAGTCTTTGCACACTCCACGGTTCTACCGTGTCCTGCGGCCTCGTCGGGCTTGCTTTCGGGACTCCACCTCCCCTCGTTCTCTACAAACTTGGTGAGTGGAGCTGACCTCCAGGACGCGTGGGTTGACCAGTTCACCCCTGGAGGTCAGCGTGTGACCCACTGCACTTGCTCTCGGACGGGCTGCCACCTGGCCACGTTCACCCGTCGGCCAGGGTCGAGTCTGTACACACTGACTACTGCGCCTCCTCCGGTCTCTGCGTCTGGTCAGGTAGCTGCGTCTAGTCAGGTGTTTGCTGCCGCGTCCCGGTCTAGTCCTACGTTTGCCCCCTGCTCGTGCCGTCCTCTGTCGCACGAGACTCTCCTTTGGCACCACCGCCTTGGTCACCCCTCCCTGCCTCGTCTTCGAGGTATGGCCTCCCGTGCCCTTGTCTCGGGTCTACCCAGGTCCCTCCATCCCCTTCCTCCGGGGCCTGCCCCCACCTGCAGGCAGCGCGCCGCCCCTCACTCCTCCTTGTTCCCTCCAACTGAGGCTCCTCTGCAGACTCTTCACATGGACGTGTGGGGCCCAGCCCGCGTCCGTGGACAGGGTCACGAGCGTTACTTTCTGCTGGTCGTTGACGACTACTCGCGTTACACCACAGTCTTCCTCTTGCGCAGCAAGGGTGAGGTCCCTGAGGTGTTGATCGACTGGATCCGCGGTGCTCGTCGCCAGCTTAGTGAGAGTTTCGGCTCAGACCTTCCTGTTCTGCGTCTGCACTCAGACAGAGGCGGGAAGTTTTCCTCCGACCTCCTGAGAGCCTTCTGTCGTTCGGAGGGCATCCGCCAGACGTTCACGCTTCCGGCCTCCCCGCAGCAAAATGGGATTGCTGAGCGCCGCATTGGCATGGTCATGGATGTCGCTCGTACGTCCATGATCCATGCGGCTGCTCCCCATTTTCTGTGGCCGTTCGCGGTTCAGTACGCTGCGCATCAGATCAACCGTCAGCCTCGTGTCTCCTTGCAGGAGACCACACCTACTCTGCGGTGGACGGGGAAGGTTGGTGATGCGTTCGCGTTCCGTGTCTGGGGATCTCGAGCTTTTGTTCGCGATACTACAGCGGACAAGCTTCTGCTCGTGCCATTCCCTATGTCTGTCCTCTCAGGACGTCACGTTTGACGAGTCGGTGTCGTACTACCATCTCTTTCCCTACTGCACTGCCTCCCCCCCCCCCCCCCCACCGCTCTTCCTCGCACCAGGTACTCCCCCTGTAGACCCCCTCCCCCCCCAGGGTCCTGCCCCCTAAGGTGTGTCCCAGGTAGACCCTGCTGAGTCGGTCGAGGTAGTTGTCGACTCAGGTGCTACTAGGGGTACTGAGCCTGCGGGTGCTGAGACTGGGGGTGCTGAGTCTGGGGGTGTGGAGCCTGAGGGTACTGTGCTGGAGGTGCTGCTGGAGCTACTGGAGGTGCTGCTGGTGCTGGAGGTGCTGGTACTACTGGAGCTACTAGAGGTGCTGCTGCTGCTGGAGCTACTGGAGGTGCTGCTGGTGCTGGAGGTGCTGCTGCTGCTGGAGCTGCTGGAGGTGCTGCTGGTGCTGGAGGTGCTGCTGGAGCTACTGGAGGTGCTGGCGCTACTGGAGCTGCTGGAGGTGCTGTTGGTGCTGGTGCTGCTGGTGCTGGAGCTGCTGGAGGTGCTGGAGCTACTGGAGCTGCTGGAGGTGCTGGAGGTGCTGCTGGGACTGGAGACCCTGGGGCTGAGGGTACCGGTTCTGTCTCTGCTGTTTCTGGAGGCGCTGCGTGGACGCGGCCGTACTACGTTCCGCTCCTGGCTCTTAGGGTTTAGGGCTCTTGGCTCCCCACCTTCTCTTGGTCCTCCTCCTCCTTTCCTGAGTCCGCCGCCTGTCCAGTCCCCGTCGCAGTTGCAGCCAGCCTCTCCACTGCCCGGTCCTTACTCTGGACCGACTAGAGGTGTTACGGAGCGTCGTGAGCCTGAGTCTCGTCCTGTGTCGGCTGCGTCTCGTTCTGCGTTGCCTGTCCGTACTGTTCGCGCTGGTAGTGTTTCGCGTCCGCGTCTCCCTCCTGTCCCAGGCACTCACTCTATGACACTGCGTCCTTCTACTGCTCCACAGCGTGTTCCTCTTCCGTCTCCTCCTGCGTCCTCTCTTCCTGACGGTCCGGACCCGGAGTCTGACTCCCTTCGTGTTGCTAGTCCTGCTGTCACGCGCTTTCTGGCCACTGCTGTCACTGACCCTCTGCTTGAGTCCTCTGCTGCGTCTGCTCTTGTTGCTGAGCTTGTTGACTTTGCTGCCACCTGTCGCCTAGACTACGCCACTGCTCTTGTTGCTGCGTCGGCGTCTGTGTCTGTCTGTCCTCCGTCCGTCGAGGGTGAGTGTGCTCTTGGCACGGACGTTCTTGAGGACAGACAGGAGGAGTTTGAGTGCTTTGCTGCTTCTGTACCTCATCTCGTGTCCATGCTGCTGGCCCCTGAGGGAGACCCGGATGCACTAGACATCCCGACCCCGCGCTCTTATGCAGAGGCGATAGAGGGTCCCTACTCCTCTCAGTGGCAGGCAGCCATGGACGCAGAGATGGCTTCCTGGAAGTCCACAGGCACCTACGTAGACGAGGTTCCCCCACCTGGGGCGAACATCGTCAGTGGCATGTGGATCTTCAGGGTGAAGCGGCCGCCGGGTTCTCCGCCTGCCTTCAAGGCGCGTTACGTTGCACGAGGCTTCAGTCAGCGACAGGGAGTTGACTTCTTTCAGACCTTCTCCCCTACCCCGAAGATGACCACTCTTTGGGTACTGCTGCACATTGCTGCTCAGCGTGACTACGAGCTCCACTCGCTTGACTTCAGCACAGCCTTCCTACAGGGCAGCCTGCACGAGGAGATCTGGCTGCGCCGCCCACCTGGCTTCACTGGGTCGTTTCCTGCTGGTACCCAGTGGAGCCTTCGGCGGCTAGTCTACGGTCTCCGCCAGGCACCCCGTGAGTGGCACGACACGCTCAGGACGACTCTTGCTTCTCTTGGTTGTGCTCCTTCCACTGCTGACCCTTCTCTGTTTCTACGCACTGACGCTACTCTGCCGCCGTTCTACGTTCTCGTGTACGTAGACGACCTCGTCTTTGCTACTGCTGACACGGAGGCACTCGCCCACGTGAAGTCCGAGCTGCAGAAGAGACACACGTGCACAGACCTGGGTGAGCTGACAAGCTATCTTGGCTTGCGGATCACCCGGGATAGAGCACAGCGCACCATTACCTTGACTCAGTCACACATGGTGCAGCAGGTCCTTCAGCGCTTCGGCTTCACGTACTCCTCGCCACAGTCCACTCCTCTGCCTTCCGGTCATTCGCTCTCATCTCCACCTTCGGACGAGTCCGTAGAGCCGAGTGGCCCGTATCCAGAGCTTGTGGGCTGCCTCATGTACCCGATGACTTGCACACGACCTGACCTCGCATACCCTCTCAGCCTTCTGGCTCGCTACGTGGCTCCCGATAGGCACCAAAAGGTGCACTGGGATGCTGCGAAGAGGGTGTTGCGATACTTGTGCAGTACATCGAGCATGGGGCTCGTGCTTGGAGGACGGGCTCGAGTTGTCCTCACTGGTCACGCTGACGCCTCCTGGGTTGACGACTTGGCTACACAGCGGTCGTCATAGGGTTACACCTTCAGTCTTGGCTCCGGTTCTGTCTCTTGGCGGTCTACCTGCTCTTCTTCTGTTCTCAGCTCCAGTTGTGAGGCTGAGATCTACGCTGGGGCCATGGCTGCACAGGAGCTACGCTGGCTCATCTACCTGCTGACCGACTTGGGAGAGGCGCCTCGTTCTCCTCCAGTTCTGTACGTCGACAACAAGGCCATGCTGGCCTTGTGTCAGGAGCACAGACTGGAGCACGGAACGAAGCACATTGCTCTGCGCTACTTCCTTGCTCGAGAGTTGCAGCAGTGTGGCCAGCTTCGTCTTGCTTACGTGGCCTCCCAGGCCAACATTGCTGATGTTTTCACCAAGGCACTTCAGCCTTGTGATCATCAGCGTTTCTGTACTGTGTTAGGCCTTGTACCTACTGTGCCTCACTTACTTTCCTCTTGACTCTGCCTGTACTGTACTCTATATACATATACCTGCATGCTTACTCTTGCTAGGTTGTATTCACTGTATTGTTGTTCTCCTTTATATAACTCTGCATGTGAACTGGCCTTGTGGCCATTTCCTTGTGCTCAGACTGCGTGGTGACTTTGTGATCCACCCTGAGCTTGCTTTGTCTTTCTTGACTGGTCTTGTGACCCCTTGTTCTCCCCCACTTTGCCCATGGGGGTGTGTCAAACTTATATCTACTATAGTCTGTTTAGGCTGTAGTGGGGTAGTCCTTAGAGGGTACAACACTTTTGTGTTTCCTACTTGTACCCATCTGCTTTCTAGTTCCATCATTCAGACCTCTCATTATTCTCACACTATAGCCTACAAAGGCTAAGTCATATATGTCTGACACACCCCCATAGGCAAAGTGGGGGAGAACCAGGGGCCACAAGACCAGTCAAGCAAAGCAAAACAAGCTCAGGGTGGATCACAACGTCACCACACAAGGCTGAAGCGCCTTGGTAAAAATATCAGCAGTGTTGGCCTGAGAGGCCACGTAAGCAAGGCGCAGCTGACCACGCTGCTGCAGCTCACGAGCAAGGAAGTAGCGAAGAGCAATGTGCTTCGTTCTGTGCTCCAGTCTGTGCTCCCGACACAAGGCCAGCATGGCCTTGTTGTCTACGTAGAGAACTAGAGGAGAACGAGGCGGCTCTCCCAGGTCAGTCAGCAGGTAGGTGAGCCATCGTAACTCCTGTGCAGCCATGGCCCCTGCGTAGATCTCAGCCTCACAGCTGGAGCTGAGAACAGAAGACGAGCGGGTAGACCGCCACGAAACAGAGCCGGAACCAAGGCTGAAGATGTAACCCTGTGACGACCGCTGTGTAGCCAGGTCGTCAACCCAAGACACGTCTGCGTGACCAGTAAGGACTACTGGACGCCGCCCTCCAAGCACGAGCCCCATGCCCGACGTACTGCACAAGTAGCGCAACACCCTCTTCGCTGCAGCCATGTGCTCTGGTCGGTGTCTCCCAGGAGCAACATAGCGTGCCAAGATGCTAAGAGGGTATGCCAGGTCAGGTCGAGTGCAGGTCGTCAGGTACATGAGGCAGCCAACAAGCTCTGGGTACGGGCCACTCGGCTCTACGGACTCATCCGAAGGCAGAGCTGAGAGCGAGTGGCGAGTAGACAGAGGAGTGGCCTGAGGCGAGGAGTACGTGAAGTCGAAGCGCTGAAGGACCTGCTGCACCATGTGTGACTGAGTCAGGGTAATTGGTGCGCCATGCTCTGTCCCGGGTGATCTGCAAGCCAAGATAGCTGCGCAGTTCACCCAGGTCTGTGCACGTGTGTCTCTTCTGCAGCTACCTGGCCAGACGTAGGAACCGGAGGAGACTCGTTAGTCAGTGTGTACAAGCTCGACCCCGGCTGACGGGTAAACGTGGCTAGGTGCCGGCCCGTCCGAGCACACGTGCAGTGGGTCACTCGCTGACTCGCAGGAGTGAACTGGTCAACCCCCCCATCCTGTAGGTCAGCACCACTCACCAAGTTCGTAGAGAACGAGGGGAGGTAAAGACCTGACAGAGAGCCAGAAGGGGCCGCCGGACATGGTAGCATAGTGGAGTAGTGGGCAAGGACAGGACCCCCAGAGGGGTCTGCCAGGGAGACTGCAACCGGCCGACGAAGCAGCGTGAGTGTGGTGCGGTCTCGAAAGAAAGAGCGGGAAGCACCCGAGTCAAGGGTGAAGGTGTGCAAAACCTGGGCCGACTCGGTACCTGAGAGAGCAGACTCACCAGCACCTGGAGCAGCAGACTCACTAGCACCTGGTGCAGCAGACTCACTAGCACCTAGAGCAGCGGCCTCAATGCCCGGGTCAGGCGGAACACACAGGTAACAGTCACCCCCAGCACTAGTAGACACAACATACATGGCAGCAAGAATAGCATCATCGTCAAGCTCAAATATAGCTACACCCGACTTGAGCAGATCACCCCAGCGAGGGATCTCAGAGGCGTCAGGGAACTGGATATGCCAGGCGTCCGTCAGGCGGCTAAAGCAGCGCTGGGTGGCGTGCGGTCCATCGCACGGCTCACTAGTGCGGTTTCCAGTACGCAGGACGTAGGCACAGGGACCAGCACCCCCAGGTCGCTGGCGTGCACCGTACTACTCACGAAGCTGCTGGGGCGACGAGATCTCACGAGAGCGCTGCTGCTGCTGGCGCTAACCACCACCAAAGTCTCCCCGCTGCACAGCTCCACCCCGACCAGCTCCACCTCCGCCGCCGCCGCCGCCTCCTCCACCCCCACCGCCGCCGCCGCCGCCGCCTCCACCGCCACCACCGCCTCCCCCGCCAGCTCCTCCAGCGCCCTTGCCCCCCTTGCCCTTGCCGTTGCGGCACCTCCCACTAGGAGCAGACGCAGTGCCGACCGACTCGGTGCCAACGAGGTCGACAGCAGCAGCAGAGGCAACAGAGGGCAAAAGGGGGACGGGGGAGCACCCCTCAAAGAAAGGGGCACGAGGGTCACCACGAGAGGCTCCTACAGCGACTATACTCTTTTCAGCTGCAAGGAGGCGCTCCTTGAGGAGGTCAACAGTGAGTGTGGTGGGGCAAACAGAGAGTAAGTGGTCCCTGACCGAGCGAAGGGAGTCAGGGAGCCGAGTGACTAGGTAGTAGAGGGTGATGTACATGGGGGGGGGGGGTTCTTGGCGCAGAACTCAGCAGGAAGCGCAGCGCGGTAGCAGGTGTCACTAGTGCGCAGGGGTGTAATGAGGTCAGCGACTGTGGCAAAGGCGGCGAGGTCAGGGAACAGGTACGGCAGCATGAGTCGACTAAGGGCAGCAGTGGCAGGGGAGGAGTAGCATGCAACTACATCGTCGTACAGAGTCTTAGCACTCTTGTACTGACTAAAGTGCGCGCGCTCAGTGGACGGTAAGTGACTACGCACAGCAAGGCGGGCAGCAGCATCGCGTGTGGTCCACTGCGAGCGAAGAGTACTGTCAGCAGTAGCAGCAGGGGCAGTAGAGGCGCCAGACGTGAGATCGAACAGTGAGAGACCATCCTTGCTATCGCACTGTAAGAAAAGCTGCAGATCATCCACCCAGACCTCAAAGTCGACCGCTCGACCCTCAGCATCGAAGGTAAGAACATTGGGACTAGCCATGGCAGCAGCAGCAGTAGGCAGCAGCAGCAGTAGTGCGACTCGGCTAAGTGGCGCGGCTCGGCAGTGCTCTTACCAGGGGCGGTTGGGTAGGCGGCCGCTACTGGTGGGGCAGGGCCGTGGTGCGCCGGCAAGGTAGGGGCCGCAGCTGGGCGGCAGGGCAGGGCCGCGGCTCGGCTGCTGGTCAGGGCCGGGGCGGCGGTGACGGCAGCGGCGGCGGCGGCTCGCGACCCCGGCGGCGGCAGGCAGGGCTCCTCGGCGGCTGCTGCAGTTGGAGGCCGCGGGAGGGCCGGAAAGGGGGGGGGGGGGGGGGGGGGGGCGCGGAGGGGTCGCGACGGGGCCGGGGCGGGGCCGCGAAGGGGCCGCGACGGGGCCGGGGCGGGGCCGCGAAGGGGCCGCGACTGGGTCGGGGCGAGGCCGCGAAGGGGTCGCGACGGGGCCGGGTCGA